ATTATTATTTTCGTTGGCTCGACACGTCTACCCTTTCGTTTGATTTAAATTTGAAAAGAGAGTAGGTGTATGAGTGAAAGACAGTTATATAACATTCATCTAATTTGTCCTCTACTGCAAGTCGCCATGGGATAGGACTGAACGAAGATAAAGGCTTTCCTCGAGTTCATTCGCAGGATATGACATCGTAAAAATTACGACATTGCAATTTAATGTTTTTATCACTGTGTCTTCCTTTCATCGCGCCTGCTGCCATTGTCCTAAATAGAAATGAAGATTCGGTATTGATATTAAAACCATTAACTTCTTTCAGCTACTATACTGGCAACGACTAATAACAATGAAGAGTTGTTATTTTAAACAAGTGTTTATTCAAATGGTGGATCATATTCAGCTCATCGACCATTCTGTTTTAAATAAAATTGTCTCACAGATGAGTGAACATCCGATCGACCGACATTTTCGTGTAACACTATAGAACAATGAACACAGTTCATTCACATATGATGTAACAGTCTCAAGGATTAGCTTGCAAACCCTCGCCTCGCAAGTATTCCTTTATATTTGAGAGTAAAATAATATTGCCATTGAACGCCTGGTTTAAATAATTGTTCAAATGTATACACAAAGCTATATAAAGCAAATGAAAAATGTCTTTTGCTGAGTTACTTTCGGATACTAACAAATTCCATAACGCTTACTTCTGGTACTCTTTGAAAGGTATCAAACTGATATGTAGAGAAGGGATTGGAAGTGATAGTAGAAAGGCAAACATTGCTAACAGCTACAAGGGATAGGAAGTTGTGAAGAGACATGAAAAGGACATGTTACATAAAATAAAATTGTCAATTATTATTTATTTATTGCTAATATTTCTTTCTATAGCTACCCTTCGCAACTCCCAGTTCGCCATTGATAACCCTATTGAAGAATAACAAAATTTAATGACCTGGGGACAGTAGAAGCATCAGTTTTGTGTCAGATGTTTTCATGTTTAAGAATAGAAATTTTTTCCACTATCAAAATACCCGCCATTAACTTCTGATTGTAGTTGTTTCATAATGTATATCCCAATATTTGTAGCCTTTTAGTATTTTGGTTTTACCCTCCCCCCTCTCTCAAACACACACACACTATAATACGCAATTATTTTTTAATTAAATTTGTACTAAATAAGAAGCTGAAACATAGTCTTACCTTTAACACCGATCAATACGCGACGACAATTTCTCATTGAATACGCCAGTGCTTTGACCGTGTGACATTGTTAAACTTAGTATAACTTCTGTTGATCATCTAGCATTTAATAATAACAAGCATAACTTTACAAGTCTGCTGTTGCCTTCATGATCTTGTGCTAAACTTAGCTAATCTTAATATCTTAAAGCTCCTGCCGTTATTATGCTAGCTTCGTAGATCATTACAAATTGTTTCTCACTACGTACATTTCTGTTGTGTCTATGTGCCAGACTAGTTAATATTAATTACGAACACCTGTCGTAGAGCAATAGGAAGGTCGCCACGCATAGTTTTTATAAGTTGTTGGATGCTCATATGTGTTTGTCAGACAACCAAGTCTATGTTGCTTGTGTCAGACTATGCCAAGTTTAGTTAACATCACCTATGAGCGCCTACTATGTCTTGTAATGTAATCTTGCAAGTAATTGTTAGATAGCGCGTAACTGGGCGTTCATTATAGTAAACTTTCCAACTAAGCTCCGTAAATAACTACTCCAAATAGTCAGGTCCGTTATCTTTAGTGTTACGAAGATTCTTGTAATAATTAGTCATTATGATATACAACTGGTTGGTGCAAGTAGTGATCAATGGGTGGGTGCTTAAATATCTGGGAAAAAGCTTTTCAGTTCCATGTTTATATATAGATACATAGACAGATTGATAGCCACTACGTTCACATGCATAAATAAAAAAAAATGTCTTGTCCATTCAAGAAGTAGGCGATCATGTTTACACAGCTTATCTTTATTTTAATGGAGTGGTTTCCCGTTGCGTTCTCCACATTTTGAAATTCAGAATCTTTCTTATCTTAGACTGGTTATCACCCAGGCTGTTATTTAGCCCATAGCATAGATTTATACATCCTCGTCTTTTGAACAGAAGTAAAGGTTAATCCCCTGTTTCCTGCTTAGGACTGGGTTCCCAATTCTTTCTCCTAAAGTCTTTTCATTTTTTCACTTCCAGTGACCCCTTGCGTCTTAGTGGCATTATCACCTTACTTAGGATGAAATGATTATAAAAGAATTCCCAATGTCATTTTTTGCGAAAGTAAATGCAACAGGCTAGGTCGAAATTTGAACCCATTTCGCAGATTTCATTTTTTGCGCCGATAACAGTTACGCCACTGATAATTAACTATTCTCGCAACAGTCAAAAATTGAAATGCTTATTTCAGTAGGTAAAAGGTCTTTTTTATTCGCTGACCTGACAGGTTTCTACGGCAGACAACTAGTATAAGATCAGTTGATAATGATATTAGTGTAATGTTTTTTTTTTCCCACATTTGAAAAAATGGGCCGATATCAAAAATGGGACCAAGTCTTGTGAACTATCTCCCGAGAATATGAATACGTATTCAGCAGGTCTGTGGTTTCAGAAGCGCGGTTTCTACAGCCCTTGGTGTTCCCGCTGTGGTAGTTTTATGTTTGATAGAAATAGTTTTTAAAAAATTCAAGATATTTCATAATCTTTTTCACCGCACATATACGTGAGAAAAAACGTTTACTTACAGCTGTTTCCTATATACAGCTTATGGAACCAGATGTTTAATGAAAGCCGATCCTCATTTGAAACTCTCAACTGTTTAATGTGAAATCTAAATTATAATAGTCAAGTTACAAAATAGTTCATCAATATTCTCGTTAAACAAATATAAATTCATGCACCTACTGCTGTGTAAACAGTACCAGTGCCTAAAACAAAGCCTTTATTAGACAATGAAGCTGAGGTGAAGCATGATTTCTGGGCTTAAACGTCATTATCATTAGTTCAAGGCACACCATCAATACCTCATGATATCACTAGATATTGTTGGTTCTCTGTTATAATGTAAGAATGCTAGATCAATGTAGACAATAACTTTGACCCAAATTAATGTTTCCACCATTCCTAAAATAATAAAAACGAAATAAAATCAATACGTACTAAAAACTAATTAATAAAAAAAAAAACTCTGCGACTACCCTATCTTTATTTAAATTCTGCAAAATCCCTGTACGATACCCACAAAGAGACAAAATTGATAGAGGCCACTCATAACACAGAGTCAACATCTTAGGTTTTTATGAGTTTAACCTTAACAAGCATCAACTGAAAAATGATCTGGGTGAGAATAAAAAGTAAATAAATAAAAATCCATATTTGTTCATAGCTACCTAAATCCTACACCTCATCAAAAAATCTCAAGTTATTTCACTACTTATATATCTATTAATAATATTGTGTGTGGACTTTGTATTATTCAATGCTACTAAAATGAGCAAAGCAAAACTTTCGACAGAGTTAAAATATACTTGCGAGGACCTGTATTTAGTCACAAATGATCTTATGCTACTTCTACAAAACAGAGTCAAGCAGTAAATAATGGCGTGTCAAAAATAATAATATTCACTAGCAATACTGCGTTTCGTGTAGTTTAAAAAAAGAAGAAGCTATATTCTATAATTCAGAGAAGATTGACAATCATTCCAAAACTTGTTATTGAGATCATTCTTCTCGTTGCTTTTATTATTACTGCAACGTTTCAGCTGTTCGATTCTACAGTCTTCTTCAGACGTAAAATGTAAAAAATTTCTGGTCTTTCTTTTTCAAATGGAAGAGAAATGCTTGCAAATTTACAGAGCAGCTGTTTATCTAGATGAGAAATAATCAGGAACATATAAAAGAAAAAAGAAATACAGAATCATCTGTGTTATACAAGTTGCCGAGAATGGAATCGCTTGCGTGGTGCGCGTTGCTAGGAGTTATCTAAACTGGTCAATATATTTCTTACCGTTTATTATTATTCACACATAGTCAACCTTGCTAGGTTGACTATGAGTGTATCAGTTCTTTATTTGCTCCCATGTTAGTAAGGTAACTATGGGAGAGTGATTTTCTACCGTGCTCAATTACATACGCACTTCTTCGAGAACGATCGTAATATACCAACGGTGATATCTTTTATCAAGATAATTAGCAAAGGACAAATAAAAAGAAGCAAATTCATCTTTCTCAAGGAGAACTTAAGCAACCTCAACCGAAATTAGAATACAATTCATCAATTCCATTTTCCGTGCAAGCAACCGTTACGACACCTTCCATTATTTTATAATAGGTAATCATTACCAATTTTTTTGCTTGTGTATATCTCCTTTTATTTAAATTCAAACAAATATTTGTAAAATCTATAATGTCTACATCTGATCGAGGCTATTATTTTTTACTCAATGAACTCAGCTAATCTAAACATATTCATGGAGCATTTATGCTTAAATCACATTTATTCGAAATATGATATAATGTCACTCCTCTTTGGGTGGGGATAAAGAGTGTATATTTGTGTATTTCTCTGTACAATTATATCAGAGAACAATATGCGTGGGGCAACTAGTATTGGATCGAATAGACCATTTCTACTGGAGTGAGTTCAATCATCACTTCGCGTCACACACCACTAGCCTCGTGCCGTAATGTAAATTCAATAAATAAATATTGATAGGTAAGAAAGACGCCGAAGACGTGGTCCCTTGCTTTTTGGGAAAATGTAACAGGAACGATTCCAGCAAGAAGCAAGCATAATTTTAAAATCTCTCGGTTCCAGCTTGTTTGAAGAATGCTTCCGGTTTTAATAGGATTTGTAAACACATTTCTCTCTCTCTCTCTCTCTCTCTGTGCGCGCGTGCGTGTGTTACTCGAGCAATCTCCTATCAATTCTTAGGTGTCTAGACAAGACGAAGACATTGTGCATCGTACATTTTGTTAATATCTATCTATCTATCTATCTATAGATAGATAGATAGATAAAGTTGACTGATAGATAGATAGTTATGTAAGTCGACTGATAGATAAATAGCGAGTTAGCTAGATAATTGAATAGACTGAGATAGATTTGTAGCTACATATGGCAAACAGATAAGTAGATAGATCGATAGAAATAATAAGTAGACCAGTGGCGTAGCTAGTGGGGGGCGGATGGGGCAGTGCGCCCCGAGCGGCACTTTTGGTCAGCTGTGAGTTTACAGAAAAGAAAAAAAACAATAGCATAATTTCAATTATTGCCCCCCCCCCCCCAAGCAACGATAAAGAAGATAGGGTTCAAATGAAGCCAATTTGTCTTTGATATGGCTGGCTGTCAGCTACCCAGCAATAAAAAAAGTCTCCAAAATGCGCTGTCAGCTAGTGGGAATAAATCCCACTTACAAGGCGTGAGCAAAAGGTGTGAAAAAAAATAAAACTTTGAACATTTTTAAAAGGCTTGATGTGGGGTCGGATTAAGTGAATTTAGTGCATCCACATTTTTTCACACCTATGTAAGTCCAGACTTTGGCGTCAGTTCTTTGATTTTGATTTTTCATGTCTGTGAACTGTTAGTGAAAAAAAATAATAAGTGAACCAATTGTTTTTTTCTATCTTATCATAGGCCTAGCTTTATAAAATCATTACTTTTCATAGATTATAAAATAGATAAATAAATTGAAATACTTCCAATGCTTTAAGGTAAGGATATTACATGCATTCCATTCTGAGAAATGGATAAAAGCATTAAAAATTGATGGGTCTACGAATAATTTCTAATATTCCGATCCATATTTGAGCTTCATTTGATCTTTAACTCATATATATATATATATATATATATATATATATATATATATATATATATATATATATATATATATATATATAAACTTTAAAGGGGTTAATGTGCATTGTAATATTGTATTCTTCCTGAGGAGGGGCGGCAAACTTGAGGGCAAAAGGACTGGCTACGCCACTGAAGTAGACATATAAGTGGACAGATCTATAGATGGATAATAAGTCGTTAGATAATAAGTAGACAGATAGAAAATAAGGGGACTGATTGATAGATTATAAGTAGACAGATATATAGATAAGTGGACTAAAAATAGATAGATGGATAATACGTACACTGTTAAATAGATATATTAAGGAATAAAAAGTAGACTGACAGGTAGATAAGTAGATAGAGGTATAATAAATAGACTGACCGACAGATAGACAGATATATAGATAGATAGATAATAAATCGATTGACAGATAAATAGATAATAAGTAGACTGACAGAGAGATAGATAAGTAGACTGACAGACAGACAGAGATAGATAATAGATAGATAAATAGATAATAAGTAAACTACTATATAAATAGCCAGTTAGCTAGAGAATGAATAGACTGATATAGATAGATATGTAGCTACATGCTAATAAACTTAGAGAATAAGTAGATAGATAGATACTAAGTAGACAGATATATACTAAGTGGACAGAATACGTAAACAGATAGATAGAAGATAAGGAGACAGACAGACAGATAGATAGATATAGATAATAAGTATATATATATATATATATATATATATATATATATATATATATGTATATGTATATATATATACATAGAGATGGAGAGAGAGAGATAGATAATGAGTAGACAGACAGATAATACGTACAGATAGATATATCGGTAGAATATAAGTGGATTGATACATAAAAAAGATAGATGAATAGATAGAATAATAAGTAGACTTACAGACAGATATTATCTATCAGCAGACTGCTGATAGATAATAATTAGACTCACAGATAGATAGATAGATAGATAGATAGATGGATAATAGACTGAGAGATAAACAGATCGATAATAAGTAGACTTATAGATAGATAATTAGAAGCCAGACAGATGGATAGATAATTAGCAGGCAGACAGACAGATAGATAAATATATAGATAAATAGATAAATATACTAATACATAAACTGTTAGAATGATAGATAATTAGCAGACTGCTAGATAGATAGAGAGATAATTAGCAGACTGTTAGAATTAGTACATAGATAATTAGTAGATAGACAGATAATTAACAGACATATAGATAGATAATTAACAAATAGATAATTAGTAGATAGATAGATAATTGACATCATGCTAGATAGATATTAATTAACAAAGTTTGCTTGGTAGGTAGCATTGAGCCAAATGAGAGATTTAACAGACTCGAATTGATCGATAGATAGATATGTGTGAACACCTTTGTGTGTGAGTGTGTGTGTGCGTTTGTGTGTGTGTGTGTGCGCAAAATGTTACCAAATGCATTGGTCCTATACTTATCTAAATAAGAATCTGATCATTTGTCTACGGGGTCGCGTTTAGGTTCTGAACATTTCGATTATGAGTGGTGTACTTTAATTAATATAAATAATTTTTGTGACTCTTTGTAACGTTGAAAGTTCAGACCAGAGAAACTTTTAAAAAAATGGATGCTTAGCTTATATTTGAAATAGTCGACTATTTTTCATTTTAAAAGTTCTTGAAAGCTTATCAAATTGCTAGAGAAATATTTTAATTTTACCACTTTTGCTAATATATCTCCTTTTTATATCAAGAGAAAAAGAACTAATATTGTTTTTTGATCTTTTGTGGCAATTAATTACGATAAGTATTTTTTCAGCCATATTTGGATAAAGACTTTTTTTTTCATATTTTCTACTTCAAGTTTAAATAACTACTGTTAAATGTGGCTTTGATAAAATAAAAATGGATTCTAGGGAGTTATTTTTAACCCGTACATATCTGTGAGGAGTGAATAATTTTGCTTTGTAAGCTAAAGTAAATTAAAAATTGACACTACAAAAGTGCATTCATACAGGTGTACTCTTTAAAAATAATTATTTGGTAAAATATAGATATTCCAAATACATACGCCACTTTACTTGTGTGTGAAAGGTTTGACTAAACAAAAGGTTTTAAAAACCTGCCAACGGTCCGAGCTCAAATCCAGACTATTTGGTACAGAAACAGAACCAACCATCCTCTTTCTTTACCAGATGAGCCACGGACCTTACATCCTGCTTGCTTGTCGACATGCAATTTATCTGTCTAACTATATTAAACGGACCGATCTCACAGAACGCAAATATTTAATAAATATTTAATGAACAGAAGAATAATTTAGAGATACCAACATTTGTTATCTCACTATGCCTTACTAAGAGATTTTCTCTTTTTAATAGCGACTCTACAGTTATTTTTATGAGAAGTGAAAGAGAGAGGAAGCATGTAGCGGTCAGGATTCTCTATCTCTATATAACGTTCGCTATGAAATCGTTTTGTGATATTGAATCAAATTTGCATATAAAATACTACTTATCAGCGGAATTAACTCTAAAACTGTTTTAGTAAAACAGGATACTTGAAAAAAAAGGTATGTGTGTGTGTGTGTGGGGGGTCTAAATGAAGCAACGTTTAAACGAACCCAGTCTTCATCTTTTGGGGCAAATAAGCTTTTTGATTCACACAATGACAGGTTCTCCCTGAAAATATGTAGGTAGGTAGTTGTAATGTATGTATGTATATATACGTACGGGCAACTGACATGTGGGATTAGGAATATGTGAAAATGTTTCGTTCTATATTTGACCACGAAAGCGTATATATGGCTATTCAAATCATCTCCTCCTTATACTTGGTTTGAGGAGAGTTGAAAGGAGGAAGGAGAGAGGCAGAGAGGAAAAGAAGAAAGAGAAAGAGAGATAGATAATAAAGGAAGAAGAAGAAGTAGATGGAAAAGAAAGGAAACATATGTTAGAAACGAAGACTGGGAGTGCAGTGAATGTAATAAAGAGATAGAGAGAAGAGGAAACTGAGAGTAAGGGTAAAAGTAAAGGACGAAAAACATTTAAGAAAAGCAAGAAGAAAATGGAATAAATGTCAAAAAGAAAGGAAGACGAAAGAAAATGAAAAAAAAAGGAAGGTTGAAGAAAGAAATACGAAGTGGTGCAGAATTAAATGAAATTAAGTAAAAGACAGAAAGAAAGAGATCAGATGGCGAATAATTAAAAAAAAAAAAATGAGAAAAAGAAAGAAAAAAAGAAGGAAGGAATATATGAAAAGTTAAAAAAAATGTAAAAGAAATAACGACTTGTAAATAAAGATGAACAAAAAGAAAAAACCAGAAGAAATAAAAATGAGAGAGAAGGAAAAGGGAAAGAAAAAAAGTAAAGAAAAGGAAAGAATGAAGAATTTTTTATTTATCAGAGAAAGGAAAAACTAAAGAAAAAGGGAATGAAAATATAAAAAGGACTAATGAAAAAAGAAAAGAAGATTAAATCAAATGTAACTGAGAGCAAAAAATGAAAGAAAACTGTGAAGGAAGATAAAGAAAGAGAAGAAAGAAAATGAAAGAAAGAAGAGAAAAATAATGAACGAAATACGAAGAACGAATAGATATTTGGTTGGCCAAGAAGAAATTATAGTAAGAAGAAAAAAGAGTGTGCGCTTGATTAAAAAAGGAAGAAAAAAGAAAAAGAAGAAAGGAATGGTGGAGGTGCGGACGACCGTTGATGATAGGGTGTCGATCGGGTACAAACCTAACCAAGAAGAATGAGAGTGGCTAAAAAAGAAAAAAAAAGAAAAAAGGAAATCGCCGTCGCCACCACCACCACCATCATCATCATCATCATGTTAATGCTAAATGTAAAACCTGACTCTCATCTTTTTGTATTTCTTCTCTCTTTCCTATTATTATTATTATTATTATTATTATTATTATTATTATTTCTTTTTTTCTTTGGGGTGGGGTTCATGTAGATTTTGAGAACGATAGACAGAGTGAGAAAGAATAAGGAGAAGAGGAAGAGAAAGAAGAGGAAGAAGAGAGAATATAGAAAGAATTAATAAAAATAAAGAATTAATGATGATAACAATCTCTGGTGTGAATAATAATAATAATAATAATAATAATAATAATAATTTGATTGATTGGCAGGAGATAAAGTACAAAAATGAAGAAGAAAGAACTTTAGTTTATTTAGTCGGATGTAATAGAGACCAAACAAGAAGAAAGAAATAATACGGTGAACACACGCACATATTCAGGAAAAAAAAAAAAAAAAAAAGAAAGAAAGGAAAATAATAAATAAAAGACGAGGGTGTGTGTTTTTACCTCTCTTGGGGAGGTAGAGTTAAAGCAAGCAACGAAGCAGATAAAAATGCGTATACGTTTGTATATACGCTCAAAAGTTCAGACATCTGACATTTATATATGTTTCTCCCTTGTATCGACGTACATTTCTGCAAATATGCCTGTGTAAAGATCGTTCTCTTTCTAGCTTGAGAGTTCTCTACGTTTCTAATATTATGTAGAGGGGTGTAAGTCATGCTTGCGTATATCACTGTAAAAGTAATGCCTCTGCTCTTGTGTATATATGTGCGTTTGTGGATGAAAGCCATATACGTAACTCGATCTGCGTGTTGGCTACCATCAGTGAGTGCATGTGCCCGTTCAGGCGTGTATGCGTGTGTGTATGTGTGTGTATATATGAGTTATCAACGTGGACCAATCAGACGGCGAATTTTGTAAAAGTCGAGCGCTGATTGGCTGTTGAGGTGGCAAGCTAATCCTGTTATTGAGTGACAGGGTAAGTGCAAGGGGGAAAGAGGGGATATCTGACATGAACCTTCCCCGTCGCTGCCCTACTGCCGCTACAAGCACTTGCCAGGAAATGTGCACGGATACATACAGACATTCATACATACATACATACATTCATACGTATGTGATACATGATGTGTGTGCGTGATTGTACGAATTTTTATGAATTTTCCATTATTCATTTAGTTGTCACACACACGCACACGCACACACACATATATTTTATTAAGTATTAGTGAAATTGTCTCTACTGGCACAATAATTTAAAATTTATTTTTTGTTTACTTATTTTTAAAAATCTTTTGCTTACTTAAATGCTTAAATATGTACCCTTTCTTTTATCTTGTTTGTAACTCGTGTGTGTTTCTGTTAATGTGTTCGTGTTTCTACTGGTTAATAAGAAAATTCATTGTCATAAATTCGTGTGTGTATGTATGTATGTGTATATGTGTACATGTATGTCTTGAATTCATGTTTATATGTATGTGTATGTGTGTGTAGACACTTAGTTTTTGTAGATTTGAATGAGTGTGTGTTCCTCTCAGTCTTCTTAGACAATTATTATTATTCATTATAGACGTCTGATTGCATTTTTCCACACTTATGTGTACATATGATAGATATAACAATGTATTTTATTTGCAGCTGTTTTGTAATAATTCAAATCTGTGTATACATATAAGTAATATGTGTGTATCTCGATGTGGCCTAACGGTTCGTTTGAGCTGGTTAATATATGTGTATATGCGTGTGTATTGTTCTGTGTGCAAAAACTGATGACAACAAATTTCTAGTTTAAAGGGTGCCTTGTATGTGTACGTGTGTGTGTGCGTGTGTTATTCGTAAACGACGTTGTGTCTAAGAGAGGAAAGAAGCAAAGAAAACAGAAAGATAGAGAGATAAAATAAGTGTGTATGTGTCGTCTTCTCCTCACTTATTCTTTCTCTCTATCTTTCCTTCTGTGTGCGTGTGTTAGACTAAATGTCTCTTTTAGTTTTGTGCGACTCAGCCTTCACGTGTACGTGTGTGCATATAAGTTCACACAAATAAGGGTGCGCGTACTTTGTGTCATTATTTGCTCGCGCGACCGCTAGGGTTCCCAATGTGAGTGCATATACGTGTGTCTACGTGTGTGTCTGTGTAATAATCAGTATGTAAGCGCGTCTTTACTGATTCCCATGTCTCTGTGTGCGTCTGTGTCTTTTAGTTTTCTCAGTGTAATGATTCTTGTATTAATGTACTTGTAGACTCTAAATGTGTGTGTATGTAGTTCGAGACTAATGAAAATGTGAGTGCTGTAAAAACAGTTCCTACTGAATGAGTGTATTGTGTTGTATGTGAGTGTGCGTGTGCGTGCGTGCGTGTGTCTTCGAGCCTGTCTGTGTGTATTATTCAGTTCTGACTCAAATGTATACAGTATATCATGTGTCAGTATACGTGTTGTTTTCTCTCTACGCTTTATTTTCATTCATTCGTGTGTGTGTATGTGTGCATGCGTGTGTGTGTGTGTACACACTCGCATGAATGCATGCATGTCTACGTTTTTATCACTTTATTTCTCTTTCTTTGTATGTATGTATATATGTCTTTTTCGGTGTGTATTTGCGAAGATTTGTTTACTCGTACTTGATTATTATATAAATAAAATAAATGTCGACAATCTCTTTCGTTTCTTTGTATGCCTGTGTCTTGTGTTTGCGTACGTGTGTATGTATGTATGTGTGTATTTGCCCATACGCGCTCATATTTTACCCCAGCTATCAGCTATTATAAAAATTTCTGCTTGTGTGTGCGTGTGTGTAAGTCTTTGTCTGTGTGTTCGTCTGTAGGACTATACAATCGCCTTTGTGTGTGTATGTATGTATGTGTGTGTGTGTGTGTGAGAGAGAGAGATAGAGAGATAGAGCGCATGCGTGATTATCTTTGTTTCTTTTTCTGTACGTTTTTCTCTCAGTTCCTTTGTCTCTAAAGTTAGTACTATATTCATGCGTTGTTATATTTATCTATTTACCCTGCTTGCAATGCGAACAACAACAATAATAATGATAATAACAATTGTAACAGTAATAATAATAGTGCATGCTTATCAAACAGTTTTACTTTTTTGTTTCTCTTCGTTTTTTTTATTTCTTTTTTAGTGTTAGCGCGATTATCTAGCATATGCAAGTACATGCACTCACGTTGGAGAGTTTATAAACCTTCCCCCTGTGCACTTAGAGTTGCATAAATAATGCTCACTCAGAGTTTTGCTTTTTTGTTTTTAACTCAAGCCCTCAGTTGTTGTTGTTGTTGTTGGTCTTCTTCTTCTTCTTCTTCTTCTTCTTCTTCTTCTTCTTATAATAATAATAATAATAATAATAGTAATAATTCTTATTCTATTTTAGCAGGTGTAGTTATAGAAATTAAAAGAATTTTTCCCTTTTTAACAATCTCAGTTCTTTGTGTGTGTATCTGTGTGAATGTTTGTTGTACGCTATTGTCTCTCTTTAGCGTATGTCTGTATTGAATTGTGTATAATTACACACATACACACTAGCCCCCCAATAGCTAAAAACGTAACAAATCCACAGATACACAAATGAGTATAAATAATATGTGTATATATGCGTGTGTAAAATAAATGTCATTTTAGAGAGGGCTTGATAGGCAGAACGTTTTCAGAATATTTGAAAGCGTAAAATAAATGTGGAGTGAGATTCAAGTGACGTGTGTGCCTGTGTAAAAAGAAAGGAAAAGAAAGAATGCATTTGTGTCTGTGTGTACGTATCTTACAGATGCGTATTTTAAACACACATTTTATATAGTGAGAGAGACAAAGTAACTTTAAGTATACGAGGGTATGTATGCATGTATTTTAAGTAAATATTTGTCAGTACTTTGAGATCTTAAGACGTGTCATTTTTTTTTCATATGTGGAAAGTGTGTGATATGCAAGAGCAGACAAAGAGGAGGTCGTTGATCGGAATAAATCAAATTCATGTTTCATTTTCGAGGAGAATGTGTGTGTATGTCAAAGAACGTTGTAATGTAACACAAATAAAGCCGGGGAATGCGTGGTTTGTGAATTATCTATATAAATGTGATTCTAAATTTGAATACTATTTAAATTTGAGTGTTAAGTACGCATGCTGACGTCACTTTCTTCAATAATGTGATAAACATAATAAATTTTATTTATTAGCTGATAAACTCGAACCAAGTTTGTAATTTCCTTCTATTTTCGCCCTTTATTCTCGTTCGTTTCTTACTCGTATTTAATTTGTAACCGGGCGTACTTAAGCAAGTCAATAATAGTACTTTACTTAGTGAGTGCAGCAATTTTAGTACATTTTGCAATTATAATTATATACTTAGAATTTCTCAACTCGAGATTGAGAAACCTTTCATATTTTTATCTGCTACAAAATACATTCTTCCTGACAAGCTATAATTGCGGCGCTGTAGATACATCTACACTCACACACAAACAAACGTATATATACGTAAGGACGTTGTGCATAAAAAAAACTTATATGGTTTTCTGGTTGCACACACGCACACAGACACAAACATACAGATATATATTTATATGTATATATTTTCAGCTTTGAACATAAAACGTGACAAAAGTGAATTGATTTGGAGATTTTTTTCAACCTTTCCACGCTCTTTGTAACATGTGTGTATTTATTTATTTGATTGTTTTATATTATATTTCCTGTTTAAGAGTGTAATAAGGTAAGCGTGTATGTTAAATGTGTGTGCGTGTCTGTGTATATATATGTGTGTTAGGTGTGTGTGACACATTGTCTCTAAGTGTTATTGCCTGTGTCACAGTTACACAGAGGAGTACTGTGCACTGAATATTTATGTGTGTAAACGTGACATATCTTTTTTTGTTGTTTTGGGGGAGGGAGAGGATGCATAACGTGTTCTGCTGGGAGAGAGGAAAGAAAAGAGAGAGTATGGTCCATGATGGAGTGTTTTGTGTATTTACCTGAGTAGATATTTATATGTAACAGCTAATTTATGTAGTACGATACATTAAATAATCAACCATGAGTTAAATAGTCGGGCAAACTGGGTTCTCTAGCCTTGATTTATAACCACTCTAGAAGAGCATATCTGAATTCAAAACCGTAGAAAAGGCAACTGGAAATCAACCTTTTCCAAGAACAGTCATGGTAAATCACATATGTTATGGATAAAAGGAAGCTGTGGAGAGCTATGATCACTCTACGTTCTGAAGGGAATTGATTCTATAAAAAATACTGCATTAAAAACTGTTTCATATACAAGGATATGTGCATGCATTTTGCGTGCATACGTATGTGATTACGTATATCTGCGTTGAGCGATATGCTTTTGTAGGTTATGTGCATATTATGCGTGTGCGTGCGCACATACGTACTATGAGGTTTCGAATGTGTGGAGTTGGCTTAATGGTTAACAACACTGAAAATAGAATCGTCAAAATGGGTAAAAATTCCGGTTGAGCTAATCTAGCTTATATTCACTTCATACTAATGACCCTTGGGAAATTCATGAATCCACTTCCCTTAGGTCCTGTTGTTGATACCATGTAACATATTGCAACCTGTCGCATCGTGTTATTTGCAGAGCTAAGTAACTCACATAGCCTCGGAAATACCATGAATGGCCTACCATTTTTTTTTAAATAAGCTTAGACAATGTGTGTCAGTTTTTGTCTGACATAATCCATAATGAAATGTACACCATTGTTTTATGCGTGGTTATATTTCACATTATGTGTAAATACACGTTTGACATTATTTGTGCGTGTGCGTATATAGGTTTGTTTTTTGTAAAGTCTTGGTTACTACAAGATGTTATATGTGCATAACTCATCTATAATAAAATATAGTTTTAAGATATGCTATATTTATGGGTTAAAGTGCTCAATATCAGGAATAGAGCGTATGTAAATATAAAAGTGGACATTGAATTCAGCACCTAGAGGCGACAGTCCTCTGGGTGTTGACCTTAATGTACAGTGTGGCATATCTAATAACAATAGTGATGGAAACAAAGAATCAAAATGAAATCGGCGAGATTATATAAAAAGATTAATAAAATAATTTAAAATAGAACATTTTCTCCAGCTTCCCTCGTTCGTGCGCATGTGTAGACGCACCCACGAATGACGAAACGCGTCCCGTGAAAACTTTTTCCCAATTTGTCATACATTTTATCCCATATATATATATATATATATATATATATATACGTGTGTAAATGTCGCCAGTGCAAGGAAGATAACTAGTATTCCTTGCCCTAGTGAAGCCAGGTGACAGTGTCTATTTTAGGATGATGCCAGGTTACTCCAAGATGATTGCGAAATCAGAAAACGAGAGTGTAAAGGATTAACTCTGTGAAAGAGCAAAGTAGAACAATAAAAACTGGAAAATATACTTAAAGACTCCTATGCATGTACCATCATTTTTTGATGTTTTTCTTTTTTTAATCATTTTACTCCAAGCAAGGTGATTATATCACTAAGATGCAAGCGATTACTAGCAGGGAAAGAATATGAGAAAACTTTAGGAGAAGAAGCCGCAAACCCAATCCTAAACAAGAAACAAGGAATAAAATCTCTGCTCCTGTTCAAAAGACGGGAAAGTTGTGTCAACCTGGTGATGGGCGAACATCTCAACTCCTACTAGTAAACTAATAATAATAATTCTACCAATATATCTTATTTGTTGTGCTTCAGTTTTTTTTTTTCATAATCATGAGTCAAGAACATTCTCAGGTTTGTACTTGTAAGATTTGTTTTCTCGTTGAAAACCCCACTTCTCATATAACTTTCAATGAATGATTTTGGTTACTTGATCATGTATCCACCTTTTATACTCATTCTGAGCTAAACTTAGGCACTCACCCACAGTGTGTACTACAGTTTCTTCGAATTTCCCACATATTCTGTAAAGTAATGATATTTCTTATTGGTGGAAGATAAACTAGAAAAAGAGGGGTTAATAATTGATCCATTATGTCTTTTGATACAGATTAGAGCAAACGGAAGAACAGAATGTAATCACCTATGACCCATTGAAGTTTGAACTCGCAAGGTTTTGGAAGTTAAAGAAAGTCACAATCATACCACTTGTCATTGGTCCTGTAATTGACAGAATAGCGACATGGCTAAAGAAAATTGGCACTGATTGCTTAGTGGAATTGTTGCAGAAAGGAAACATCTTAGGAACGGCAGGAATAATCCGAAAAGTTATGAACAATTAAAGTCAAAGGGAAATTGCTGATTGTGACACACTATCCATGCATTAATTATCAGATATTAAGATTTTATCAGAGAAAATACTACTACTAGTAATAATAATACATCAACGCAGTCGTAGTCCAATCGCTGTCGAGATTATGGAAATATTATTGAACTCCATGAACTTGTCGGTGGCTGCATAGTATGTGTTACGGCAAAGCTACATACGGTTTGAGATTCAGAGTTATCTTTCTCCTATACTAGTTGCCAACCAATGTTAGAGACCCCAATATGCACTGCCATTTTAGCCATATACACTTTTATATACACCTGTTGTATGTGAGTTTCTCTATGTTTTTTTTTTTTTGGTAGGATTCTGGGTAGGGAAACACAGCTCTCTCACACGGAAAACGAATTGTACATTTTCAAGGTAAAATCTTATGTTTATGGCAACTTATAGAATTGTCAGGGCAAATTCCTTCTATCGGCCTCAACCCTCATTGTAAAATCTTCTCCCGTGTACCTATAGAGCTGAAGATGTTACCTTTTCTTGGTTTTGAATATTCATTAATATTTGATAGTGCGAAACTCCTATAAACGTATTTTGTGCATTTTTCACCTCATATGAAGTGGGGGCTCATACAAATACATGTAAACACACGGATCTGTCTATTGTGACTCTCTTAAATGTGTAATATTTAACGTGCGATTTTATTTACCATGTGTTACAAGAGAATTGGCAGATATGTTTCTGATTGTGGTTGAAATCGTTGTATGAATGTGTGCCAACAAATAAGCATTAAAACCAAAAGCAATAATTGTCCTTAACAGAAACACCCAGGAGATTAAAATCGACTCTAAAACGAAAGAAGCATAATAATTAGTGATTTGATTAACAAACGTGTTTTTTCCAATGATGTGAATAAATATGGAAATATTAAGAAAAATCAAGTATACTTCCTTTAAAACAAATAAAGATAACTGCTTTTTCAGCCATAGAACACGCATCTATGTATAATGCGCATCTATTATTTGTCAAAAAATATTTAGAAAAAATAATAATATTCAACTTTCATCCGATGATCTTCCATATTATATATATATATATATATATATATATATATATATATACATATATATATATGAAAAAATCTGATTCACAAATTTACATTTTGGCAAGATTCGATAGCGGCACTGAGAATAATTTTTCGTCGAAGTTAGTAACTGTTTTCGATCCCGGCTTGAAGTCTAGGTACACTGAAGAGCTGTGATACAGCGAAACAGTCTGTCTGTGGATGATATATATATATATATATATATATATATATATATATATATTCATCCACACACACACACACACATATATATATATATATATATATATATATATATATATATATATATATATATATATATATATACTGGAGAATATATATATAACCTCTATATATCAGACAAAAAGTGGGTAATTGAACTAGAAAATTGGGTTAAATCTCCTTATATCTTCAACGTTTTCTCTCGATGTTTAATTATTATCGACGTTTGTTTATATTTTCGTTTACTCCCTTAACATATACATGATTCCATCGATAAAAACATTTAGCCTAAAGAAGTTTTGCAGAATGACAAATCATGTTACATAGATTTTTTTTTCTATTTTGTCATATATATATATATATATATATATATACCAGCAGTATGGCCTGGCGTTGCCCGTGCTTGATTCAAAAATCGTACAACTCATACAGCAATCGCTATCACTTGACTTAAAATATTTTTGCCCTTTCTTGCCTTTAAAGGAGTGCCCTTTGCTGTGCTGATGTTGCTACATGCCTTACTTCTTGCCTATCTCATACTGCGAATTTTTTCTAAGCTCTATACTAAACATTAAATCTGTTACGAAAAAAGAACTAAACAAAATGAACACAAAACGATCAGCTTTAAAAAAGGCCTCGTAACTGGAAAAACCGAATGAAAAAAGAATTTTAACAACAAATACTTTTTCATACCCAACCCAGTTCTGCGGAATCAGAATCAACGTTGAGTTTAAGAAAGCGAATGAGCCAATTGGAGTAAAGTTCCATGCAGATTTAAATTTTTCCCACTTGTGACGAATGCAGCTATCGATTTTTTTTTGCATGCTAGCATGCTAGTTAACATTCGTGTCAGTCAGTTGTTGGCTCTCACGCTGGCCGATAGAATCTTCCTGCCTATTCGTGGCAGCCAGCTATAGGCTCTCACTCTGGCCGCAAACAACATGAAAACTGCCGTAGAAGGATGAAAAAATCGATTATTTTCACTCTCGATGGGAGTTGGGAAATGCAAAGTCGGTCTTGGCCTTCCAGCTAACTTGGAGCATGTGCATGTAAATTTTGGTGCAAACCCGTCGAAAATTGCGGCCGTGCATTTGTTACACACACACACATCTTACCTTATATATATATGTGTGTGTGTGTGTGTGTGTGAGAGAGAGAGAGACAAAAATTGTATTTCGCTAAAAATCTGTCGGCCAGGGTAATTCTGGAAGATAACGTATTTAAGGCAATCGATCGTTATCATTATTGTGGTCGATATCAATAGATAGAGCAACAATAATAATAATAATAATAATAAAACTGTTGAACGTCCCAGGTCTGATTTACATAGAATCACATTCACCCTTCATTAGATTTGGTTGTGACTTCACCAACATGTCTCCTGAATAGTAGATGTGATTTCATGTAACTCAGAGTAGTT